TATGGGGAATGGATGATAGCACAATACCCAAGAAGGGGTAGAAAGGCAGCTGGCAAGGAAGGAAAAATTCCTGAACAACAGAAGAAAGGTGTCAGAGGAGCGCCGGAAAAAATGGGAAACAAGTCTCGTTTTGCGGCTCTAGAGATTGAGGAGGAAACAAGGGAAGGAGAGTCGAAAGAAAGAGATGACAGGAGAACACTGAAAGAAACCTCGAACGTTGAGATGCGCACAGTGGAGAAGAGTATGAAGGTGAAAGAAATAAGCAAGAACTCTGACATGGGCAGCAGCGGTCAGAAAGGGAACAGAAAGGAAAAGACGAACAAGAAACCAGAAGCTAGAGAAATAGAGAGGAGTAGGAAACAGGAGACACTAATTGGGGTTAAAGGAGTAGGCGGTGAGGAAGTGGGCCTAGACTTGACAAGAGATGTTGGGCCGAACCAAGTGGAAAAGGAAAAAGAAGACACAAGTGGACAGAATACATGGGCCAAACAGAGTCAAACTGGGGTTGAAAATGGGAGTCTGGACAGAGCAACTGGGCCGAAGGAAACAAAAAAGGAAGAAATAGTGGATTTGGATGGGGAGGACCTTATCATGGACCGTTTCCTTGACGCATATCCAGACCAAGTCAATGACATAATAGAATGTGAGGAAGAGAAGCCACCTGACCCAAACAAGAAAAATGAAGCATTGGGTTTATTGGATGTGGAAAGAAAAAGCAGGTCACAAAGAGAAATGGGCCCAGAGGCGCAAATACAAGAAGAGTACTATGAGAAGGCTAATGAGAGCATACAGAACTCGAAGAATCTGTGAGTTCTAAAGGTTTGACTCTTTCTGGAATTGGTTTTAATGATTTTTACATGGAATGTGAGAGGAGCAGTTAGCCATGAGTTTGGCGCTGCGTTTAGAGAATTAAAAAGGAAATTTAGACCTCAAGTTGTTGTACTTGTTGAGCCTCGGTGCAGTGGTGAAAAGGCAGAAAAAATTATTAAAAAATTGGGATATAAAAAGCATGTGTTAATGGATGCCCAAAGCATGTCTGGGGGCATATGGATTTTATGGGAGGATGAGAACATTAACATTATTGTTCTGGAACAACAGAAACAATACATACATTGTGAAGTTAGCGGATTGGGGGATAGTAAATGGTGGTTCACAGCAGTGTATGCTAGCCCAAGAGAGCGGGAAAGGCGTGAACTTTGGGATCAACTAGAAAATATAGCTACTCACACACAAGGCCCATGGATGATGGCAGGGGATTTCAACGACATAATAAGTAGGGAAGAACAAAGAGGAGGAGGGGAAGTAAACATTGACAAGTGCACCAGATTCTATGAAAGAATAAGTAAGTGTAGATTAACAGAGATTGCTTCAGAAGGACCCAGGTTCACATGGAGAGGACCTATCACAGCTCACGGTAGCAGGTTATACAAAAAACTAGACAGGGCCCTCTGCAATATAGCCTGGAGGAATTATTTCAGCGAAGCTTTTGTAAGAGTGGGTCCTAGAATTCAATCGGATCACCATCCACTGCTAATCCATCTATTCACAAACAGAGGGGACAAGACCAAAAGACCTTTCAGGTTTGAAGCTATGTGGCTGCAACATGGGGATTTTAAGAATTTCCTAAAGACAAGCTGGGGGAGTAAACAGAATGTTTGGCAAGAACTTACTGAGTTAAAACCAAAGTTAGTGAGTTGGAATGAAAACACGTTTGGACATGTGGCAAAACAAAAAAAAGAATTATTGAGCAGGATTGCAGGAATACAAAGAAGGCTACAAGTCAAACACCAAGGGCACCTAGAAAGGCTGGAGGATAAACTGAAAGAGGAACTGAATATCATCCTACAGAGGGAGGAAATAATGTGGTACCAAAAAGCTAGAACTAAGTGGCTGAATGATGGAGATCGAAATACTTCTTTCTATCATACTAAAACGAACATTAGAAGAAGAAGAAACAGGGTAAGCATGTTAAAGAATGACCAGGGAGAGTGGGTGGAAGGGAAAGAGGAAACCGGAGCTTTAATGAATTCCTTTTTCAAGAACCTTTATGAAGAAGATCAAGCAGTAAGGGGGTGGCAAAAAACTACACACACCTGGCCAGCAATTTCTGAGGAAGAATGGAATAGAATCAACAGGCCACTAAGAGATGAAGAAATCAAAGAAGCAATGTTCTCTATGGGAGGGTTGAAAGCACCAGGAGATGATGGATATCCAGCGCTCTTTTTCCAAAAAAACTGGGAAACAGTGGGGAAAGATGTCTGCCGTACAGTCAAAAACATGTGGGATAATAGTGAGGCAATAAGGGAAGGCAACAAAACTCTCATATCACTCATCCCGAAGGTGGAGGCTCCAGAGAAGGTAACCCAATTCAGACCTATATCCCTATGCAATGTGGTTTATAAGTGCTTATCCAAGAGTATGGTGAAAAGATTGAAATGCATTATGACAAAAGTGGTGTCCCCCTTCCAAAGCAGCTTTGTCCCGGGGAGGAACATACATGATAATATCATTATAGTGAATGAGATGATACACTCAATGAGAAAAAAGAGAGGGAAGAAAGGATTCATGGCAATAAAAGTGGATCTTGAGAAAGCCTATGACAGAATCAGTTGGCAATTTATGGAAAAGGTGCTAATCGAACTGAAATGCCCGGATAGCTTGATAAACAAAATAATGGGCTGTGTCAATACCACAAAGACACAAATTATATGGCATGGTGAGAAGATGGAGGAATTCAAGCCCACTAGAGGACTAAGACAAGGTGATCCTCTGTCTCCTTACTTGTTTGTGCTCGGTATGGAAAAGCTCACACACCTTATACTTGATAGAGTGAGAGAGAAAAAATGGAGAGGCATGAGAGCGGGCAGGAAAGGCCCAAACATTTCTCATATGATGTTTGCAGACGACCTTGTGTTGTCTGCAGAAGCTAATACTAACCAAATTGATGTTATTTTAGATTGTTTGCAGGAATTTGGCTCAATTTCAGGACACAAAGTAAGCAATGAGAAAACACAAGTCTTCTTCTCTCCGAATGTGTCAAACCATATGAAGAGAGAAATATGCAGGAAGAGTAATTTCAGACAGGTAGAAGACATAGGACGGTACCTTGGAGCAGAGATTTCGTTCCCACGCAGAAAGAAGGAGAAATACACCAAGGTGATAGAAAAAGTTCGAAAAAAACTGAAGGGGTGGAAAGTGGAAAGTCTATCGCTGGCTGGAAGATTAACACTGGTCAATTCAGTCACAAACATGATGGCACTCTACCAGATGCAACGTGATCGAATTCCCCAGAATGTGATCGAAGTATTAGAGAAAGAACAAAGAAGATTCATATGGGGTGAAAAGGAAGAGCAGCGAAAGTGGCATGCACTCTCTTGGCAGACTCTCTGTAAAACTAAATGCAATGGGGGATCTGGGATCAAAATGCTAAAGACTATGAATGATGCACTACTATTAAAGCTACTGTGGAGGAAAACTGTCAATCCAAAGGAACTCTGGGTACAAGTACTATCTGGAAAGTACGAAGAAAGACACAGGGGAAGGGAAGGCACAAGAGCAAAACAAGGAGACTCAAGGTTATGGAAGGAGATGATAAAATTGGAACCAATATTCAACGCCAATGTTAAAGCAGAAGCAATGCAGGGAAGAATGAAGTTCAAATGGAGATTGAATAATGATAAGGAATTCACAACAGCAAGCACGTACAAGGGGCTGGCAGAGGAAAGACAGGGGCAACCGAATAGAATATGGAGAAAAATCTGGAAAATGAAAGTTCCTGAGAGAATAAGAGTGTTTATGTGGAGGGCAAGACACAAACGCCTTTTGACCAAAGAATGGTCCCAGAAATGGGATGGCAGAGGTGGATTATGCGATATCTGCAAAACTGGAAAGGAAGACATCCTACATGCTTTAAGGGATTGCCCGCATGCAGAAAGAATATGGGAAAGCATAGTACCGTTAGAGTACTGGTCACAGTTTTTTAACATGGAATGGGAGCAATGGTTCGACCAAAATGTGAATTTCAGAGGAAGATCAGAAGAAGAATTATTATGGCCGGAATATTTTGCTACAAGCTGCTGGCACATCTGGAAGTGGAGGAATTTACAGATCCATGACCCAAATACAAAGGCACCCTGGAATATGAAGAAAGTGATTGAAGAAGACCGTAGAAGCTACAGTAACAAGCAAGAAATATGGCTGGAAAGGAACAAACCTGGAGAAATAACCTTAATTAGATGGTACCCACTGGAAGCTGGATGGTGTAAATTGAACACGGATGGAGCGAGGAACAGAAGCGGACAAGCAGGATGTGGAGGAGTAGTGAGGGGAATCGAAGGAGAATGGCTGGGAGGATTCACATGCAAATTAGATTCCAGTGATGTAGAGGGAGCGGAAGTCTGGGGAATTATAGAAGGTCTCAAGCTTTGCTGGAAGCTGGGACTGAGAAGAATCCTAGTGGAATCAGACGCAGAAGGAATAATCAAGCAAATAAATAGCGAAAGGGAAATCACAGGAGATCCTATTTTAACAAAGCATATTCGAGACTTAATTCAACAACAATGGACAGTGAAATTTCATCACACTTACAGAGAAAGCAATAGATGCGCGGACAGCTTAGCCAAGATGAGCTTAAACCAGAAGGAGACATGGATACTGTGGAACACGCCGCCGAGTAATGTCATTGAGATTCTTCAGGAAGATGCAGCTGGAATAGAACTCCCGAGAGGAGTTAATATTTAGTGATGTCATCACTCTTTTTTCACCAAAAAAAAAAATAATAAAAAATGAATTGTTTCTCAACCTAGATAGATATAGAGGAATGATAGAGGGATATTCAACTCCTTTGCTAGTTAAACTAACGGGAGTTAATTAGTCATAACATGAGGAACCAAAATCCAAATCTCCATTGAAAGATGCAACGTATTTCAAATAGAATGAAGATATATGTGTGGGGGGGGGGGGGATCCCATATAACTTGGCCTAAGCTTTTGCAATCAGGATATCCAATATCTAGTCCAACTTTCTATTTGACGAATAAATTGACAAGAATTCAAATGTATAGGACTACAAAGAATCACTGTAACAATTTTAGTACAAGGTGTGACGTGAGAAACATCACAGTCAAAATATAATATCACAATTGCAATGTTACTCCAGTCACCATACTGTTTCGAAAAATGTGTTCCATTAGCACAGAAGAAGTTGCAAGATACAGTAACAATCCAACTTGCAGATCAGCATGTGTCCTTTTGTTTATTCACCCTGAAAATGGATATAAATTCCATTAAAGAATTTAGGCTATATTTGGATTGAAGAGAGTGGGGAAGAAGGAGAGGGAACCAAAACTTGCTTTAAAAGAAATGTCTAAAGGGATGTTTGGGTGGAGACAAAACTATAATTTTAAAAGTGCTTTTATCATATACAAAATAAATATGTAGAAGAATTTGTCTTGATTTGTGAAAAAGTGCTCTTCAAAAGCACTTTTGGAGTTAGGCAAACAGTTCCTAAATCGAACCTTTCTTGTCTTTTTTCTCTATTTTTTGTCAACGAGTGAGTCTATTATTATTGCTGAATATTAATATCACATTTATCAGCGACTAAGAGAGTACTTATTTATGAGCAAATTGCCGGGAGAATATCAAACCTAAACATTTTACATACGTAATGACTTATTATTGCCAGAATCCAAACCCCTTCATGATATCCGTCACAATTATTTTACAGAACAAAGTTTTTCACCTGTGAATATGGCCAAGATGTCTACCAATATACACAGCTTGTTATTGTGTTATCATAATACAATCATTACCCTATATCATGCAACTTGAATTGAATTTAATTTCTTGAACTGCTCCACTTTTCACGCCCTAAGCTTTTCTTTAATCGTGATTTAACTATGGCAATTCTAAGGTCAAAACATGATGAAGAATTAAAAATATATATACACTATCTTCGGTTCTAAACATAAGAGCTAGTTGGCAATTCAATTTGGTTCTAAATACACAAACTCAATCCACTTTGTTTTTGACATTTATCCATTTTTCCCCCAAGTAACCTATGGTTTTTTTTTTTGGTGTGTGTGGTAAGAACTTACTGTGATTTCACATGTTAAGGAGTTTCTATTAGATTATAGTTTCAATGCACATGATTAATGGGGATATTTTTGAGAAGACTATGTCCATTGATTATAAATAACTAGTTTAACTAATTTCATAAATATCCACAAATTAAATATCTAGCTTTTATATCGAGGACAGGAAGTAATATATTACTTTGAAAATTTCAAATCAAGAGATTTGTCTATTTAACTTGACATATGCCAGCAAGCTTCAAGAGATGACATGGAGTTCATGATTAACAGGCTAGGCAACTCTGCTCATCCCAACATTATTTCCAGTTTCCTTGAAAATATTTCACTGGTCATGTGCTTAGATAAACCATCTAACAGAATCAACCACAAAAGTGGGCTATAATTTGGAGTGGTAAAACCTACCAACTTGCCATAGCATAGCTTTGAGGATTCAATCTACATCTTTTATTTCTGCTTCAACATCAATTGCTCTGATAGAATCCTTTTCTGCCAAAACAGGAAAAAAGGCGCACAACAAAAATTAAGGATCTCCGCAGAGAAAAGAGCAAGGACTGAAGAAAATTGTGCTTGAAGGGCAAGGCAACAGGCCTAGTAAAGATTACCATCTTTTGAACTGGAGAAGTTACCAAATGCCTCTCCAAATGTTGCAGGTTGGTTGGAAAATTTTACTGATTCCTTTACAAACTCGTTGCCCACAACTGTTATCATGGTGAAATTCAAACAGTAAGAAACATGCACAAGCATGAATGATTTAAAACAGTTACATTTACTGTTTTTAAAATCATGGAATGTCTTTTTAAGTAGCACAAGAATTTGTTGAGGCGTCTCTATGAATCGAAAATATAGTTATCTTGTGGCAAAGAAAAGGGGTTGGTTGACATTCGGGCAGGCAGGGCAGCTACATTAAGTAGATTTTTCACTTCCTTTCACCAAACTAGAAGACCATATCAAAAGTTTACAGAATACAAACTACACATGATTTACACTTTAAAACATTTGAAGAACATTAGAGAAATTAGGTTTTGCACACAGGAAAAGAAATTCACTGTTTTCAGTGTTAGGAAACCTAAATTATACCTCAGAATTGTAATGGTGGTAGACATATCTTTACTGACAGTGGTAACCAAAACATTAGAATTCAGTAAAATGCCTAAAAAGTACGTAGAAAGTTTATGCACCAAGGCATAAGCACGTATGATTTAAAAGTAGACTACTATATTCAAGCAAAGAATAATTTACTACTCCGGTCCTACATATAAAACCCATTTTGTAGTGTAATTTACGCTACAAAATAAGTCTTATATTTAAGACTGGAAGAGTAATATGCCCATACACCACCTGTCATGTATGGCATTCTTTAAATCTTAATTTAGAAGGGAACTTGGAACAAAGACAATTCTAGCATACTGAAGTGGATTGAATTCTTTTAAGAACAAAAGTTACCAAACTAGATTTTTCAAACAGGGTAAGTAATAAACAAAAATAGGAAATGAAATCATTTAAACATGGCAAGGAAAAGTTATGCAAGAGAATAGGTGGCCACAGGTGGATTTGAGCTTCACCATCAACAGATGCCCACAGTCTAATATTGAACAGAAGTAGGGAAAGTTATAGGACAAAAAAGCCAAGTAAACGAAGAAGCCAAGACCACACCCTTACCAGAAAAAGGCAGACCACAAAAGGGGCACAGCTGCAAATCATCATTTGGAGATCTGGAAAGGATAACTGGAATGAAAAGGTGACCAGTTGGAGAAAATTATCCAAAATACAAAGTTTCCTTATTAACATGTTTCAAACAAAACTTACTTGAAAACTTGAAATGCATTTCCGCAATTGGGGCACTGCATATAGAACAAAAGATCACCAATAAATGAAGGTACAAATAACTTTAGGACAGGCTAATATTACTTTGAACATTTATAATAACTTGATAGCAAAATAATGACGCAAGACAATTACAATTATACTTGCATCCAATTTTGCTCATAAATCAAATTGCCAACAACTTTCCCGTTGGCAAATAATGAATTCAATTGTATAAAGAACTACTTTTTCAAAGGCTTCCAACGGCAAGTAATGTAAGGATAGAGAATGTGGCCCCTGGATTTGCAAAGTCATGCCCATTTTTAGTCAACTAAGATGCAGAGTGACTAAATAGTCCTTTCAATCTGATGTATTTTCAATCTTGTTCTGTTTATTCTGCTGCTTTCCTAGCATAAGGTTTTTCCTCATTGTTAATAAGTTATACTTTTCTATTATTTTAAATTAAACAAGAAATGTACTTTTCCCTTTAATTTTTTTTTAAATAAACAAACAATTGAGAAAGAAAGAAAAAGAGTTCTTTTTTATTCTAAATTTGAACCCAAGGGGAAAAAAACCATACAAAGAATAGAAGTTAATTAATTACATTTAAGATAAGGAAAGAAATCACCAACTAAAGCCTAAGGCAGCAAATCCTGAAAAAAACATCGCAATCTGAAAAATATGGCTCTAGGCAGAACCAAGAAGCTCTCCAGGGATCCAATGAAACCATAAAAATGTGGTTAAATCATTCCACTATTAACTGATCCATATATGGTGAGATAAATAGTCAAGGAACGTCATAGTGAAAAATTAAAGAAGCCTCACACTGCCTTGCATTATATCTCGGCCAGCCCACCAGAGGAAAGCACCAAGGCCTACTATTGGTACTAACACAGCAAAGATCTGCATTCAGTAAAAAAAAAAATAATAATAATAATAATAAAATAAAAAATAAAAACGATGATCAGATTCATTTACATGTACTGATTTTGGTGTAAGGGGACCATCCAAGAACAAATGAAAGTGCTTTCCCCAAGAGGAAAGACACGAGAGAACACATAACATTTACCAGAAAGAACATGGATCATTCTATTCACTAAAATATGCATCTCTATTGTTTTCACTGGCACATAACAGTAATGAGAGATTAATAAATGAAGTTAATCCCAACCTCCTGAGCAGGTGAAGCACCAAGCTAAGACCAAAATATTGATCACCAGAAATTAAAAAATATATGTTGTCTCTCAATTTAGCCAGCGTCTGCCAGGGGAAGTTACATGAAGGGCGGGATACTCTCATACTTGATTCTGCTGTCTCAAATCTGTCTTCTCTTGTCCTAAAGTGGCGTGCTATTCCGTGAACTTTGTTGTGCATAAAGTCCTTAAGTAGTGATTGTTATATCCTAAGATAGTCCAAATCTCATGGATTGCTTGCTATATTCTAAAATTCACATACCAATTTATAACTATTCAGAAAACCAACAAGGTGGATAATGATGAAAGGTACAAAAACTAGCCAAAGAGTTAGCAAAACTTATTTGCTTCTCCTTGAAGACAATTAATGGAGACATGCCAGTTCCTTAATATCAATTTTAAATCTTTCATAATAATCATGCTCAAGTATAAGCTAATTAACTATCATCACTGCAGAATTTTCGAAGGCGGGCCAAAAGGAAGAGACTCATACCCAAATGGAGACAATGGCATCTAAAATCCAGCCAAGCTGTCCAGTCATTGACAGATATGCTAATCCAATGGCTAGAGCAAGATTCCCAAAAATTTTAGCAGAAGCTCCGCTCTCAGTTTCGTCACCATCTTTGTAGCCAAAACCCTGACTACTCTTCACCAAAACCACTCTCTTATTTCCCTTCCCCTTACGCCCCTTCTCATTCAACAAAACCCCATTCCTAAACCCGCTCCCTCCAAAGAGAGACAAACTCTCCCTGCTTGCTCTCAACTTGAAACTCCTCGGGCGAAAAGAAGGAACTCTAGTTTCCAATGGAAAGAAAGACAAAGCTGGTTTCTTGAATCTATGGTCACGGAAGGAAATGGGCTCGGAAGTCGAGAATTTGATGATGTAAATTTGGAAAGGTGAAGTGTTCATGGGAAAATTTAGTGTAGAGGATCTTAGATGAACGTAACCTGGAGATGTCAGCATGACCACCGCAACATTCGCTGAGAAGAAGATTTTCTTCCGGCAGTCTGAGCTTTCCTTCTCATACTGATCTTGGCCTCTTTGCCGCCCCGCCACGTAGGATTCTTATTTCTAGATGCTACTCTGTGATGATGGGGCATGGCTATTTTGGATAGAGAATCAACCAATAGATAAGATATTTGTTGTTAATTTAAATAGACTAAAAAAATGTTTGGAAAACTATAAAAAAAATATTTTTCTGCAAATCAGAACAAACCTTTTCATATGTTTACTTCGTATATCGTAAAATCATTTTAAAATTATGGTTTTATTTCCATCCAACCACTTCTAATTAGCACAGAGAAATTAGCAATTTACTCTATTTGTGAACAGTGCAAGTTCAATGAGGACTAAACAACTATATTGAGTTTAAACCTTAATGGTTTTTTTGTTCTGCAATTTTTATATTATTTTTATGCTCCCGAAGTTTATAATTAACAAGTTTTATTGTTTTTTAAAAAAATTAAATCATAAAAATTAGTATTTACATCTCAGAGTTTAGCTTCATAAAACCTTGATGGAAGGAGAATTTTTAGAAACCTGTTAAAAAGAGATATCCCGGATAAGAGGGAAATCATTAGCATAGAATCAACCATCAATCATGCCAATCAAAAGAAGAGGACTGTTTTTTTTTTTTATAACTAAAACATAAGTATCCTTCTATTAGAAGCAATTCTATTTAAGACACTATCAGAAACTAAATGTAAACATCTCTCTCAGCAAAAAATCTTAATTCGCCACATTATAAGGATTAACTCCTTCTACTAGATCTAACTCTTGTTAGTTAAAGAAGAGGACTGCTTGCAGAGACTATCACAGGAAAACATAGGACCAGGCACTGGGTGGCCGATGATGACGACGCCAAGGAGGATCGATGACGATATGAAGTAACATACCCCTTCTGATTTTTTTTTTTTTAGTTAAGTTAATATTAGAATTTTTTACAATTTTTCAATCATTAAGGTATCAGAGCCTCTCTTCGATTATAGTGCCACGGAAGACTCGATCTTCCAATCGCATTGCTGGTGCTTCAGAAAGCCCTGATCGAAACTACGGACCCTCACATAAACCAGAGCACACAGAACATTGGTGATAACTGATATGCAAATTGCTGCCCGTCAAGAGGGGGAAATGATAGCTAAGCTTTTCTTAGTCACTCTTAACAGCAAGCATCCTGCTTCCAATGGTAACGGTAACAACGGCAATGACAATGGCTCTACTTCCAGCAATCCTCGCATTCCTCAGTTTGGCTCTTTTTCTGAGCTTCAAGCATAGTCGCGCGGAGCTGTCCTAGTTTGATGGTTCTGGTTTTTGGGGGGTGGACGTTAGCGCTCAACATGCCAATTGCCACTTGGGGTTAGCTTAAGTGGTAAATATAGGTTAAAATATAAAAAGAATTCAAAAATCCCAACTACTCTGGTTTGAAGAAAGAAAGCGTGGGTCAAGTTGGAATATCAGATCGTTGAAGCTTAAATATAAGAAATGATCATCATTCATCACATATGCCAAGATTGAACTGAATCTAGCAACTTCACCTATTTCCCCCTCAAGCTGCCCAAGGGTTCATGACAGGAATTCGACACAGGCAAATAGGTTTTTTTTTTTTTTTTGGGGGGGGGGGTTGGAAAAACATACTGCCCAGCTTTTGTTTGCATTAACATTCTATATTAAACCACCGAATTCTCATATTCAAAATCTATTTTAAAGCCGTGACCTAATAAAAACTCTTCTTCCATTCTTCTTCATAATATCTACTCTCTTGAGGTCATCATCTGATGGTTTCTTTCGAGGCTGAGATCCACCCGCACATTTGGGTGATGTTTCATGCCGCTGCTTAAGATTGTTCACATGTTCCTCCACTTCCTGCATCTTCATTTGAAATGGGATGTTCTTTGCAACTTTAACATCAGGTATTTTTTTGGCCTTCAATGATGTTGACAAGGCCACATCCATTAATCCTTCTTGCATCGTCCTGTGTGCATGCTTCTTACCTGCCATACTCAACGAGATGAAAAACGGACTTTAGAGATGCAACTCGCACTCGACAACAAACTAGTTCACATAAATGTTCTTCGGTCAGTCAATTACGAGCTCTCATACCATAACCAGAGTGAATGAATTTAAAAGTAAACATATGCACAGATTAGATACATAGCACTTTAAGATCTTAACTTCACCTATAACCCAAGATAAAAATATCAGTAAATCTTGCCCCCTTTATGCTGCTGTAATGATGCCAAAAAAGATATAATAGGATTCGCCAGACAGCTAGATAACAAGATTTAAGTCGAGAAGCGAATTACGGACCACCATATTCAAGTACAGATGCTTTTGTTTAGTCGCTTTACCCTCAACTTGCACTACCTTCGAAGGTGACGGGCAGTGCATGGAAAAGTGGTCATACATCACAGAGAAATTACCTTTTTACATTAGCGATTTAAAGACTGGAAAATGAGGCTCCAAATTTTTAGCCGGCTCAAATGGAAGGTTAAATAGAGATTTCTAAAATATCATTGAAGATGCAAAGTGAGAAATGACACAATTGGTTTGCCCAGCAAGATGGCTTACCAAAAGTCAAGTTGCAAGAGAGTAATGCATCGTTAAACAATTCAGGTGAAAAGAGAACGAGGCACTCTGAACTCTCATACCCATCCACTGAATTTTTTTACTTTTCTTCAGACAGTGAGATGCTCAGGAGTGTTCGGGTGTGCACTATAACACAGCACTAAGGAACCATGAATCATGAAGGAGGAACTACCTTTTCCCTCACCTGTGTTAGCAGCAATAGTATAAAAAGAGATGCCTTAAAACAATTGAGGCTTCAATAGATTTTCATTTTAGCTATCTGTTAGTTTCCATGTAAGTAAAAATATGGCAAATGTGTCACCCAAAAAAAAGGGGGCAAATATACATGTTCCAGAAGTCCCAGTATTAAGCCAAAAACTTTTAGGCATTAAACCATGTAAGAGTGCGATTCATGGAGCATATAATTAAGGTACGGAATAATTCACACCCCCAAATTTCAGTTCCTCGATAACATAACGTCTTCCCACAAAATAAATTTATAATCACCGGCTAACTTCTCATATTCCAGCTACCCTACTATTTTCCCATGTATCAAGGCCGAAGAGCAACGTCGTAAATTTTAAGACATAGCACCATAACTTGTGGGAGTTTCAAGGAAAAAGGTAATAATACCAGGGATGAGTATGCGAGAGGCGTCGACAGCGGAATCCACAGCAAACTTGACGACGCGTGCGAAGATTTGGCCTGCCTTGTAGCGGAGGTCAAAATCAGGCACGCTGATACGTGCTTCGTTAATTCTCATGGCATCAACCATTCCAGCGGCGGTGGTTTCAAGCCCGAATATTGCGGATTCCGATCGGCGTCGAGGAACGAAGCACCAGAGTCGGTAATTTGAAGCAAGCGTATGCTCCACGATGACACTGCTAATCGGATATTTGATGATAAGCAAGGACAGTCAATTTTGTACCCGCTGAATGTAACAATTACACCTTGGGACCCAAAAAAAGAAGAGCTATACCCATTTTCTAATAAAATAAATAAGGGAAAAATTACGTACAGGTCCCACAGAAAGTAATTTATTACTCTGAGGTCCCACAAAATGTCAAAATCAGTGACAGGTCCCAAGGGACTCAGAGTAATATTTTTGATTTGTAAAATGACATTACTGCCCCTCATATTCCAGATTCACATTTGCTCTGTCATTGCGATTTACAACCTCAGCAGCGACTATTAACAACCCAATGAGAGGGAGTTAACAACCCTAGCAGTATCCGTTAACAACTTACTTTATAGAATCATATAACCTCTATATAAGAGTAAATTATAACCAAATAGTATAATACAACAACTTTAACACTAAAATGGGAAGCTTTTTGATATCATTAAGAATTTTAACTAGATCCAATAGGATTATAGTAATATTTTAATGCGAAGATCTATTTACAACCTCAACAGCGACTATTAACAATCGAATGAGAGGGCATTAACAACCTAAGCACTATCCGTTAACAACTTACTTTATAGAATTATATAATCTCCACATAAGAGTAAATTATAATCAAATAGTATAATACAACAACTTTAACACTAAAATGGGAAGCTTTTTGATATCATTAAGAATTTTAACTACACCCAATAGGATTATAGCAACATTTTAATGCGAAAATCCATTTACAACCTCAACAGTAAGTATTAATAACCTAAGGAGAACTGTTAACAACCTTATCAGTGTCTGTTAACAACTAACTTTATCGGATAATATAACTTCTAACTATAACTAACTAAATTATAACTAAATAGTCTTAAAGTTAATCTTATATAGTTGTTAGAGGTTACATTATCCTATAAAGTCAGTTGTTAACAATACTGTCTAAATTGTCAACAGTTCTCTTTGGGTTATTAATACTCACATTGAGGTTGTAAATGGATCTTCGCATTAAAATGTTGCTATAATCCTATTGGGTTTAGTTAAAATTCTTAATGATATCAAAAAGCTTCCCATTTTAGTGTTAAAGTTGTTGTATTATACTATTTGGTTATAATTTATGCTTATATGGAGGTTATATGATTCTATAAAGTAAGTTGTTAACGGATACTGCTTAGGTTGTTAATGTCCTCTCATTCGATTGTTAATAGTCGCTGTTGAGATTATAAATGGATCTTCGCATTAAAATATTACTATAATCCTATTGGATCTAGTTAAAATTCTTAATGATATCAAAAAGCTTCCCATTTTAGTGTTAAAGTTGTTGTATTATACTATTTGGTTATAATTTACTCTTATGTGGAGGTTATATGATTCTATAAAGTAAGTTGTTAACGGATACTGCTAGGGTTGTTAATGCCCTCTCATTGGGTTATTAATAGTCGCTGCTGAGGTTGTAAATCGCAATGACAGAGCAAATGTGAATCTGGAATATGAAGGGCAGTAATGTCATTTTACAAATCAAAAATATTACCCTGAGGTCCCTTGGGACCTGTCACTGATTTTGACATTTTGTGGGACCTCAGAGTAATAAATTGCTTCTGTGGGACCTGTACGTAATTTTCCCAATAAATAATTCTGTACCCTAAAAAATAAATAATTTTGTTAACATTAATTATTAATAAAAATTTGTGTATTATACAAACATATATATATAAGTAAGTAATCAAATAAATTGTAATAAAAATAATTAATTTAATAAATAATCTATATTATTAACTATTTATACATGCTTATTCGTGGAAAGTGCTAAAAACCATAAAACCCAACATATAATTGATGTTCAAAAAGTAAAGCAGCATAGCTTCCTCATCTTTTGGAATGAATTATAATTTTTTTATTTTTTGAAATTATAACTTCTCACTTCCAGCCAACAAAATGACGAAAGAAATAAAGAAATTTTAACAATTTTTTAGTACAAAAGTGAGGTGGTACAGCCTAAAAACCACTCCTATTTGAATTAGAATGGGGAAATTAATTTGGTATCAGGGTGAATTTATCAAGCTGACAAGTTAGCTAGATATGCCTCATAATATAGAAAATTTCTTTTACTCTTTTTATCAGCAACCCCATTATACAGTTTGCCTCTTAATGAAATTCAGTATTTCCATATAAAAAAAAAATTAACAGAAAGCACCCGGAGTCAGTACATTTACGTCACTCATAAATAATAAAATGCAAATTTGAAATTTTTGAAAATATTTTTGCAGTGCGAAACTCATCAAGCATTTAATCGAAGCGGTACATAAATTTTTTTTCAAAAAAAAAAAAGGAGTTAAAACGCAACCTTATCCTCATTCTCTAAAGAGTTGAGTAGCACTGGTAGGGTATCAGGTCCATTCTGAAGGACGCCATATTGTATATCTGCCTGCTAATCATCTCATATTTATGTTTGTATGTAACCGTAACAGATTAGTTATTATTGACTAGAAAACCTAAAGTACGAACACATTTGTACATATGAACAGGGTTTAACTTTTAATTAACACGTCCTTCATGAAATCCATAGGCTGATGTTCTGCAACAAAATCATCTTAAGGGCCTGGGTATAAGTGATGCCCACAAATTAAAATTCAAGAGAAATATCATAAGATAACCAAACAAGAGAGACAAAGTAAGCACATGATTCTGTATAAGACGCCATCCAATACCAAAAATTAAGAAGGTCAAACAATGGGGGAAAACATAAATTTGGATCATGCTCCCACTTGTCTTCCCCATTAAATTGGCAGTTAACATAAGTATTTAACCACCCTCACAGAAACAAACAAATATGATTATTGCATCAATCAATCCCATGAAAAGTTTCAAAACATTACATCCAACAAATCTAGATCCGTTTCTAAAGACATATGAGCTAATCAGAATCAGATAGCAAAACAGATAACACACTCCTTGGCTATGGCAAGAAATAAAGGAGCCTAAGAAGCGTAAAGGGGGGGCTGCAACTAAGACGAACACTGCCCGCGTTGCCACAGAAGAATCCATACGATCAGTGCAGTTTTACTGATTAAAGGCAAACATTAGAGACCATGGCTAAATGTCAATAACCGTTTAACCTCAACTTCTAACAGTTCAGGCCTTCAGGGGGCGAAAAGGTCAAGGAAAATATACAAGGTTCAAAACGTATGAGGAGGCAGTGTATGAGTAAGCATTGGTAAGGAGGGAGAGCCATATACTTGAAAAATTGATATTGTTAAGCTAGATTAGCAGCATATTTTTAACCAGGGAGTAATAAAATCTTAAAACATGTTCAATCAAGACAATAGCAAATATTTATAGCCTAAACTAAAATAAGAAGATGGGCGCAGACAGAGACTGCAGTGCTGACCAACAATCATTAGAAATCTAAATTATCCCAAATCTTACCACTGGCAAGACAAATCCTTTTATAGAGAGAGCCCAGCAAAAAGCAACTCCAATTCCCGCTCCTGTTCTGCAGTTCTCTGACATATTTTTTGAAAAAGGGGTTGGTAAGCACTCTCGCTGAAAACCGATTCATATGGAAGGAAAGGAAAAGAGAAAAAATGGAAACACTCTAATCTCTCACTCACAGCAAGAATCTCGCCACAAACAAGAGAATAGCCCAAGAGAATCTCTGGAATAATTTTACTGGAATGTTATTTTACTCACAACTTGCTAAACAGGGAAGCAAGCAATATATAATGACTCTGCTAACAAGAAAATAATTGACTCTCCCTATATTCTCGGATACAATGAAATGGGAAATATGGAAAGACTCATACTGATTCACGACTGACTAACTTGTCCACTTATTCTGCCAACAGACTTCATAAACATAAAAAACTGAATTAAAATAATCAAATAAAATAAGACCAGGTCAACATGTTGAACTGAAACCCTCTTATGTCGCCTCTAATAAGTCACGCCCCATTTGTTAGGAGTCTTATCAGGGGTTTGGGTAGAACCTAGTTAATCGCACATTCCTCACTTATACTAATTGTCAAATATAACCATAAAACACATCATACACTATATTACACGAGCTTCAGTCATGCTGAAGAAAAAATATATGCCATTTAGCTAAATTAATGAACAAGTAATTTAAGAATATAGCCTATATAACAAGTGTCAAAGATAATTAAGCCCAAAATGTAAAATCAATTTGCTAGCATTTAAAGTGGACATGCAAACAAACATCTAAATTGGTATAATCTTCAGAATAAGGTACACGATACACCAATTATAAATCAAAACATGAGCAAAAATTTTCATTTGCCCTGTAATTCTTACTTTTAATCTATTCTAATTTCTATTTCAAAACCTAGCAAGCTACATCATTACATCTCCCTCCCGAAGATTACAAGTAGAAGAAAATGTTATATCTGGACATTGACTTAAATCTGTGTTGCTTTTCTTCTAATCTAATCTGTTTGCTAATTTCTCAAAACACGATAATCAATACCAGTATATATGATTAAAAGACATCAAATGCCAACCAACAGAATCCAAATGGACCTACCTGAATTGCTATAAGTTGCAGGATTTTATTAAGAACCCTCATGCGATGCGCAACATATGTACTCTTTGCAGGAAGTTGGTTCATTCTTCTTATTTCTTCATGAACTGCAGCCTGCTTTTGTTCACTCCACATCTGTTTCTGTGGTGTGGGCTGATAAGTGGCTTCATCCTCGATCATCGGATCAAGGGTATTACTACCCATTAATTGCTCAAAGGAATCCACTTTTACACCTAATGCACAAAAAAATTAATTAATTAACAACAACAATCACATCAAATAAACAAATATTCAAGAAACCCCTCTAAAAGCAGGAAATTTGACTTCAAGTAATTAGGAAAGAATTGTTTAACTACAATAAACCCCATATATAGGGGAAGCAAAGCACTTAAATTCCAATTTGGACATGCGAGCCACACTTGCACAAACCAACAGGTGTGTTTTCCGCAATCAACACACTTTCATCTTCATGATAATATTAATAATCAGCCTAAGAAACCAAAAGCTCTGATGCTCTCCCAAAGAAATTGACCAAAAGTAATAGTGGCAATGCTAAGCCAGCATGACTAGTTGTACAGTAAAGCATTGGTATTTAATTTTCAATACCATTCCCCCGTGGCCCCAAGGAAAGGGAAAAAAATAGTATAGAAGGGAAGAACTCGTGCAAGTTACAGCAAAAGAATATCCTCATGAAGGAAACGATTTATAGGATCAGTATGTAGAACAGTAAAGAGAAATTAGAGCAGTAGAAAACAAAATTCAAGGAGGAAGCTTTCAAAAGCTGTTTGATTCTTACCGGAACGGCTTTGACGTCAGGGAAGAGGGAACAACGGTTGGCCTTGGTAATATGCCGCTGTGTCCGAGGATTGCCCCGAAGCATATGGGTAACCCGAGACTGAACGCAGGATCTTAGAAGACCAGTTATAATGGGGTGTTTGGATGAAGTTTAAAAATATTAATTCGAGATAAAACTTCCATTAATTTTAAAATTTTAAAATTATGTTTTGATTTTCAACCAGAGGGATGAATTTAAAACTTTTAAATTATAAAAACATATTTGAAAATTAAGATATAGCAACAACAATTCTTATCTTATTAGATGAGGTCGATAATCACATGACACCATTATACTCTGTTAACAACCAATCCTTAAAAATTAAAATAAAGCATAAGAATTAATAGATTGATTTTTGAAAATATAATTCCGAATGATTAGTATTCTATAATTATATTGATTTTAATTTAATCTTTTCTTAGCCAATAATTGAATTATATTAATTTATTTTTTGCCATAATTGAATTGTATTAATTAGATTCATACTGAAGTTATATTTATCTTCTTTTTTTTGGTCAATAAAGTCATATTTATCTTGTATTAAACAAAATTAAATGTAAAAATAAAAGTTAAAACACCATGACAATCATCATTTAATACTAATAATTTTAATATTAAATGATTAAAAATATACTTTTTAAAATTAAAAAATCAAGTTAAAACCTTATACTTCAAATATATACTTTTGTCTTCATAAATTTACATTTGAAATTTGCTAATTTGTTCCTTAAAAGATTCTTAAAAAAAATCATTACTAATTTACTACTGTAATGTGATCTTATTTATTCTGCATATTACAGTGAGCAATAAATATTACTTATCTATACTAAATATTTTTATGCTATAGCTAGTAAAAAAAAAAAAAAATTTCTATGGTTGGAAAAAAAAACATTTTTTATAAGTAGTAGATACAACCCACCATCGTGGGATTTTGGTAATTTAAAATGTTTTTTTCTGTCTTTTTTTCACAAATATAATTGTATTTTTTTTTGTCCAAATTAAAAGATTTAAAAACTATTCAGATTGTTAATATAAAACTTATTTAACTAATTTAATTAGATTAAAAAAATTAAAAAAATAGTTAATTATAAAAAATACATTCTTAATATCTACTTTTTTTCTTATTTAATTATAATTAAGAAAATTTTAATAAATATAATTTTAAAAAATTAATAAATATGATAACTAAATTTTATATTTAGATTATCATTACTTAGAATGTTATATTATTATATTAAGTACGGGAGGACTAGTACTATCGCATGGTCGTCTTCTTTAGATGGTGGAAGGAAAAAGATCGTCTTCCTAAGAATTTGCAGTGGAAACTGCGAACGACAAATCTTGTTGCCAACCAGCAACTATTCCATGTCCGGACACTGCTTGCTGGCGGTGGAGCTCACCGGCAGTGGCCGACCAGTGCTTCTCCCTAACGAAATCGAATGCTACCTCCTCTCCGCTGTTGATCTTCTTTGCGAAGATGACCCCTCCAGTTCCTTTCATCATCTCAAATCGGGCATCCTCATCCTCACCACCCACCGTTTGCTGTGGCTACTTGATTCCGCCACCGCCACTGGAGGCTCCGCCTTCGCAATTCCCCTAGGCGCAATCTCCCACATTTTCACTCCTAAGAAATCTCTTAAATCCATGTTTGCTTCCCCAAGGGTCCGTTTCCAGCTCTCTTTGTCGTCAGATGGCCGGGTTACTGACTCGGGTATGATATCCAAGTCGGTGGTGGTGACGATCGTCATGAGAGGCAAGGGGGACAGTGATGTATTCCTGTCGAAGTTTTGGGAGAGTTGGCGGGCGAGGGCATGGGAGCTGCAGAGTGAGCCGAGTTCAAGCTCTGTTTCAGGTTCGAATACTTCTTCCAGCGGGATGTTTTCAAGTGATGGGACCTTGAGGATGGTGGGTGTGTCCGGAATATTGAGGAAGGAGCAGGAAAGTTGGGAGAGTACAGATAGAAGCTTGCAGGAAGCTTTCCACAATTTGAATGCTCTCATGGTAATACGTCCATGTATGCTCTAAATATCCGACAATCTATTGCGAGAACTCTGAAAGAAACGGTGCATTATGTTGAGTCTTTAGTGGTAGTAGTTTATGAGCACAGTGGCGGGTTCTATTGAACATCAAAGAGAGAAATGAGTCGAGTTTTATTGTGCACCAAAACTAAGGTTTGCTGTAGTTTATGGGGAGTACCTTAGACTTTTGGTTGATGTATGCCTCAGAATACTCCCATGTCTCTGTTGTCTCTTTTTATTAAAATCATTGTGGCTTCACTTGGATACAACTTCAAAAACAAAAACTTAGATTTGTTACTACAATATTCATGCTGACAGCTCTACATGTTGATAATTCTGGGAAAGGTATCCTAAAATCCTTCCTCCTCTGCCACCTCTATAAGTGGTTCCGAAATCCTACCTTCATTTTTCTGTAATGTACTTGGTCTCATGGTATGCATTAGAAGTTGTTCCTTTGTCTATCAACTCACTGAGCAAGTATTCCTTTTTCCTTTTTTTGGATTGATCAAGAAAAAAAATTAAGACAGTCTGATTATTAAAAGCAAGTCAGATTATTCATTCAATATATTTTCTAATTCCTCATGCAAAAAGTAATTTTTCCTTTAATTGTATTGCTAAGCTTGTCAGCTGGGTTTACCTTAATGTTGTTTGAACAGATGTCACCTTTCCCCTAGTTGATTGTGGCAGTATTGCAGTTTGGTCTACCAATAGCTGTGTAGTTAATTTATTTATTGATTAACTTGTCGTGTTTTGGGTTTTTAAGTAAGTTGTTTTGGCTTGATGTTGGGATTACAGAGCAAGGCTAAAGAGATGGTGACACTAGCGGAGAAAATGAGGCTGAAACTTTTGTCTGGTTCAAATTCTCAAACCAATGAAACAAATGATGAGGAGATGGGTTCAAAGGAAGAGATGCAAGATTGGTTATTGAGTGTTGGTATTATATCCCCCGTTACCAAAGAGTCTGCTGGTGCTTTGTATCATCAGCAGTTATCTCGCCAGGTTCTTGTCCTTTTTTTTTTTTTTTTAATTAATTCAGTCAGATCTTGTTGGTTGTCAAATAAAGAGCCTGCAACTTCACGGATGTTCTTTTTAAGAATGGTTTATTGTTTTGTCCAAGCATTTTGAAGATTGATTTTAGTTGAATGGATGAGAGCAATGGATTCGACCATGGAGCCTTATGTTACTAGTTTGTTTACTATATGAATTTCAAGGTGATGGTTGAAGGTTTGAGACCAAAGGGGGGGGGAAAAAAGAACTCAACATAATTCCAAGCCCTTGATCGAAAGATGACATGTTACTTTTGTTTATGCGAAAAGAAATCATTTTCCCCCAGTCAATCACATAAGTGTAAGATCAATTTTAAAGCGCCCAAGTGTTCTTGATACCTGTGGAAACGGTAAAATCACTTGTTCAGTAGTTTTTGAATCTTCTTCTCCAATCACTCAGGAAAATACTTTCTTTGAAAACTTTCTTGACATGTCATTCTTTATATTTTTTCTGGACCATTCGTATTTACATAGTCCTTCCTTTAAAATGATTTACACTTTGGTTTAGCAATATAGTTCTAATTATGTGAAGAGAATCAAGGTTGGAAGACAAGCTATGTACTTTTCTGCTTTTAGGGGTTATGAAGATCTTTGTTGGTGTGGAGATGTAAAACTGTAGTATGTTGATTGGAATCTTGTGCAAGGCTTAAGCTCATGAAAATCTCTCTCTTCTATTTTTTTTTTTTTGGTCGTTGGAATGGATTTTTAGGTTTTTAACTTCATATGGTTGTCTTACTTTTGTTTTGGCTTTCTCATTGTGTGTGCTCATGAATTGGCATGTTTTCATCATTATGTAGAAGTGACAAAGGCTTTTTACATTCTAAGTGCTTTTTAATGCTACAGTATTAACTGTTGTTCTTGACTCAGATTTCTCTCTCACATTTTTATGTAGTTTTATAATAGTAATTTTTCCTTGCTAATTCACAGTTGGCAGATTTTGTTAAAATTCCACTTGAAAGAGCTGGAGGAATGATCAACCTCATTGATATCTATTGCCTCTTCAATCGTGCTCGTGGCACAGGTGTTGATCAACATCCCTACATTTTGTATTTCTTGGGAAAATGATAGCCTTTCGTTTGTTGGCAAAAATTGTCTATACCTCCCTTTTGGTTGGCTGATTTGCTTTTTGTGCAGAATTGATCTCACCTGATGACTTGTTGCAAGCTTGTATGCTTTGGGAAAAATTTGATGTGTACGTATAACGTTGTTTTTTTTTTTTTTAACCTGTGTATTGGTGTATTTGTTTATTAGTTTCGTAGGGCAAACATTGCAAGTAAGTCAGATGAAATTGTACTTCCAGGAGTTCTACTTTGTTCAAGATGATCCCTTTTCTGGATGTATTTTGTACATTAACTATCTCATTGATTCTTTCAGCCCAGTGCTACTACGGAAGTTTGATAGTGGAGTCATGGTAATACAGAATAAGTCCCATAGCGATGAGGAGGTGAGTTTTTCTATCTGTTATCTTTATTGTTTTTCAATAATTTTTGATTCATTTTTAGTTGATTTCTCTCTTTTGAGTGGAGTCAATATAGGATATGATGTGTTGGCCAAAAAAAACAAAAAAATAAGTTGTAATGTTGTGATTTCTTTTGGAAAAAAAAATCTTCCGAGTCATCTTCTGGAAGTGATGTTAGGAAATTCTATTTGCATATTACTGGATAAAGCTCAGAGATCATTATGGTAAAAGAGTATGTACTTGTGCAAGTTATTTCATATTGACTTAAGTATTGATTTGTAAAATATTTAGTTGTCTAAACGGGTCTACTGCAGAACCATAAACCTGCTTTCCTCTGTTCCTCCCCTTCCCTTTAAGGTATTAGGTATTTTAAGTTCAATAATGAGGATAATAAAAATATTAGAAGAATAGACCAAAGGTTAGGACTGAAACTCGATTACTCACTATCTTTGCCCCTTCTCCCTCCCTGTTGTTTGTTGCATACGCTGTAGGAATAGAAAGGGAATTTTTCAGAGCCTCCATTAGGTTAGAAAACTTAAATGGAGTTAGTTATGGATCATTTTAATGAACACTCACTTTTGTGCCTTCGGGCTTTTTTCTCCTTTACCCTCTGCAAAGTAGCTTTTTGCCCTTCCACCTAGTATGCATCGTCCATGAGCTCTTTGAGGTACTTGGGCTTCATCAAATGAACATCTGCTTTCACTTCATCTTTTAGCCCATTCAAGAACATACGAATCAGTGATTCTTCAGGTACGCCTGATAGGGTTGCTGAAAAGAGTTCAAACTTTTCCCTAAATTCCGTCACAAACCCAACTTGCTTCAACTCTGATCCTTTTGTAATTATCTCCACTTTTGCTGGAATGGAATAGATCAATCACTGCTTCCTTGAAATTTTCTAGTCCCAAATCATCCACTTACCAGCTGCCTGCTGTCCTCGAAAACTATCTCTGACCTACCAGCCTCCGTTGAATTAATGGGCTGTGGCCATCCCCGGGGCCCAATCCCTGCTGCTTATTGTTATGTTCAGGTTTGGGCTCCCTCCTCTTGTATACTTAGCCTGCTTTACTGTTGAGCCCATCACTGTCACGATTGACACCCTAGTCCAGCTGACATGTTTACATTTACCTGTGTTGTGATTTCAACTAACTGATGCTTTCTTTCAAGGGGGTGATTGTTAAATCAAACTTATGTAGCTAAGTCTGCGGCATGTAGGTTTTTGCTAAAATCAGAATGCTTGTTCTGAAGCCTGATGCTCTTCGAGCTGGGATAAGTGCCAGTGATGCTGCAAGGACACTGGGAGTTGCCCCAGCAATGGCAAAGGAGCATCTCCTTACTGCTGAGAGCAAGGGTATACGGCTGTTCAACTCTTCAATATTTTTGTGGACTTAACCATGGACTGATAAAATGTCGTATTGTTTTCAGGTTTACTGTGCAGGGATATAAGCCCTGATGGGTTTCGCTTTTATATTAATTTATTCTCTGATATCATTCAAGATGACATGTATTTGTAAGTAAACTCTCTATACTTGATCGATGAATTGAACTTGACTAATTGATACCCCCCCCCAAAAAAAAAAAAAAAAAAGAAGGATAAAAGTCTTAAGTTAAATACTGTGTGATGTTAATTGGCACGTATTTACTGATCCTTGTTTACTATTCCTGAACTTCTCATTTTCAGCTGTCTTACATTTGGTTATTTCGAAAATTATAAATATATAATCATTTAACTCCTTCACATCAAGTACTTAAAATTTTCATTTTCCCTGGCCTTTTCTTGAACATATGTAGTAGAATCATCAAAATGTTGAGTTGAGCTTTACATTCGACCAAAAAAGGGTTCTTACATTCATACCCAGGAAGTTTTGTAATAATGAAGCATTTCTTGCTTGCATTTATGCAGAGTGAAAGACAATGGAATTTATGCCTCATGGGTAAGGGCAAGCCATGCTCGTGGCTAATAAATGATAGCTTCTTTTTGGCAAAGAAGGTAATGCATATTCAGGCCCTCGTTTTTGTAGTAATATAATAGGACTCCTACATTCTAATATTAGCCTCCTTCAGAAAATTTATGTGCCACTTTAGTAATTGAAAGTTTGATTTCGGCCCCTTTTTCTCCTCCCTTGAGCACCAGAGAATTATGCTTTGCAGAAATAAGTGGTTCTAAAATCTGGAGAGTTTTGAGGTCAGTTTTTGAGAAATAAAAGTTGACAGGATTGAGTGACTGCAGTTGCAGAGTTTACATTCCAGGATTGAGCTGACAGAATTAATGCATACCCAAGTTACTTCCCAATCTAGTTAATGCTTGCAAATCCAGATCCGGAAGGCTGAAGAGGTTGGGGTAAGAGTTTTGATATTGATTGCACCCTCCTCCATGTTGTACATTTGATTCTTGTTCAGTTACAGATATTTTCACCTTTATTGCAATTCAGAAACATCAATTTGTCTATTGCACATGCGATTCAGAAACATAAATATGTGCTTGGCTAATTTTAGTCCCCAAATGTTACATCTCAATGAGCTGAAACAATGCTATTAGAGATATTTAAAACAACACTTTTAAGGAAAGGAGAAAAGTTTTTGCTAAGAGCTGCTTTGATGTTTTTTAGCATTGGTTATATAATTCTGGTTTAATGTTAAAAAAATGGTATAATGGGGGATAAAAGCTTAAAATGAACAATAACAGTAGTTCCACTCTTAAATTATGTGGCGATGTCAAGCTTTGTCTTGCATCACTCATTTCCACTATGTTGTTATTATGATTTAATATAATTCTCTGATGTACGAGACATTTCATTAAAAAAGGACACATAACTGATTCGAAGAAATGAACACAATCAATTCGCCAAAAAAGGGGGGGGGGGAAGAAATGAAAACAATCAAAACTCAAACTGCATATTTGGTGTGTAGCCAAGGGCATCAAGGTGAGTAGCCATGGCTTTATTCATAGCTGGTGGACCACACCTTAGTATCTGCAAAATTTAACCATTCTTCTCCATCAAAATAAGAATCGTAACGTGATCAAGAGGCAAAAACTTATGCAAAGATGAGAAGAGTGTACTAATATATCTATCCTTGAATTGTTAAGTTTCTTTAGTTTCAGTGTTTGAAAATTTGTAACTGCATTAGGTAATCTATGAAGAAAAGACACTCGTTACACTTAAATCTTTTACCCATTTTTTGGGGTCACATAGGCTAAGACTACCATAGAAATTGTTGGTTGTATGAAAAGGAAATTTATTCCTTGTTTATTATTAGTGAATGAAGCATACCTGGATATCAGGTGCAGGTGCAGGACAATGGGTTTGAATCATTTCCTTGGATACGAACCCAACCCCGCCATTCCATGGGTTGGGAGGCTGCCAGGTGCGGGTAAGGGGGAAAAAAGAAATAGTCATATTCACTAATAGCATCCAATGCTAAAAAAAGAAAGTATTGTGAAAAACGTGGAAGTCAGAAAGTCAAAAATTGAGAGCAGGATGAAATATAGAGATATACGTTCTTTTTATTTGGTTTTCATTGACATATTTGTTTAGGGTAATCAAATGATTGAAAGTGGATTCATTTACTTCTCTTCCGCTGGGTGAAAGGAGAATAAGAAAAAGTGTAATGTTTTATAGTCATATGATTATGCATTTCTTTAATTTTCCAGCAAATTAAAGATTTGTTATTAGGTAAAAGCTTATCAACATTCCTATTTATATCTTTGATTTTGAGATTAAAGTACAGGTTTATTAAGCATAAATTGTAATGGGCAGTGACTCCTACCACGAAGCATAAGTGATCTTGGCTTGTTTGTATAAAGTAGAGTTTGTGTGTGTGTGTTTGTTCTTGTGGTTTTGTGTGTGTATTTTTGGGGGCCCCTCCCCCCGGAGGGAGGGGGGGTTTGGTGTTTTGGGAAAACAAACCTTATTTAGAACATGATAGACACTGAAACGGTTAGGAAACTTGTTTGCAAACCGATCAAGCTCCTCCTGCACCAGTCAAGTGTCAGAAACTGAAGAAAGAATTGAAGCAAGCACCAGAGTGCATAATAGATTCAGGGTCTTTTGTAATATTATTTTTTTTAAAAACAAAGTTCCCCTTTGATTATAAGGCTAAAAAGTCTCAATTCTAATTAACAATTATTATCATGCTGAGAAAGAAGTGCTGTTATCAGCCAAAAAAAAAAAAAAACACACACACACACACACACACAGGGGGGGTACTGTACCTTTAAAAGGATGTCATCCACTGTCACATTGGCATAAACAAGGCTCAATTTTGTAGTGTCCTTTGGATTTTCTAGGATGGCTCTTATTAGCTGCAAAAGCATGGACACATACAGATGCATTTGTTTCATGGTCCCAATTAATGACAGATGAATATAATTAATTCAATACCTTTTGTTGTATAGAATTTTTCGGATTCCTAAAGATTAAAATTAAAATACAATTAGGATATCTTACCTCAATTTGACTTTCGTCCCTTCAAATTATGTTTATAATTTTTCGACCCAAAAAAAAAAAGTCATTTGATGTTGATGCACACAAACATACGCACATAATCGTACCTGAAACATTGGGGTGATGCCTGAACCCCCAGCAAGCATTCCATATGCTCTCGCTTGACCAGGCTTGTAACTGAAACGTCCCTGTAACAGCCATGATACATTAGCCTATTACTACCTGTGATGTTATATGTAAGAGTCAATTTTATATTTAATTTAGTCATAAGATTTTTGTTCATTTTGTTTTTGGTATTTATTTATTTTACCGTTAAGTAATCTCTATAATAATTGTATATGTTAATAAATTATTATCAATAAGTAATTCAGACACACATAATTAATAGAAGTATTTTAGTGAATACCACATATTTATTACAATAACTAACTTAACGAATATTCTTAGTTTTTCCAAATTAACTAACTAGGTCTTATATAAAAATTAAAGGTAGTATTAAAATAACATTTTTGAAAGTAAAATACTCTAACTTTTTTAACATTTTGTTTTAATTACATGAACTTTTTTCTGTTTTAAAAATATGGACTGAAACTTTTAACTTCATTAAGAATTTTTAAATTAAAATTTATATTAATTTTTTATTTACTAATACACCCCTCTCGTCTAAATTCCTAATAATAAAGAAATAATATGCTACTATAAAATTCAGAAAGCTGTGAGTAATCAAAACAGAACTTACAGTGCTTTTGAAGAGTTTATACAAAGAAGTATATGTACCTTAGGACCCTTGACAGCCAAGTAATCACCTTCTTTCATCTCTCTAAAATGGTGGGACATCCTTCCCTTTGGGTACATCTGGAAAGTTATGTTTAAACATAAATTATAAGACGCATGTGTAAGATAATGTATTTTTAAATAAATTATACTGTTTTATGTGAGTTTTTCTAAATCTGCATCTGTTCACTTAAAATAAAAATCATCCTACACTAGCTCTAGATAGTTTTCAAAATGAACAAATTCATTTTTCTTTTGTGGTTGAGATATCTTCCATTAACATAAATATATATTTGGATTAGAAAGTAAAAATATATTTAACTAAAACTTTTTTGTCGAGAGGACATCATCATTTTAAAAAAATTAAAACTAGATTAAAAAGTAAGGTATATTTTGTTCTTCAAAAAAAGAATTGTACATTTAAAAAAGCATTAGAAATTTAGTAATATTAACAATAAATATATTTTTTCTTACTTCCATTAATTCATGTAAAATTATCAGAAGAAATCAATATAAAATGATCCTTGAATGTAGTGTGAGTATGCATATATTGTTCTAGTAGGGATTTGAATATAAAATGAAAATATAATTTAAGTAAAATTATGAAATATTTATATCTAAGTTAGGCTTATTGAATACATACCTTAACCACCAACTCAAAGTAGCCAACATCGGAATCCAAAGTGATTGGGGTATACGGTCTAATGACTTCCTCCCCATTGCTATCTCTTCCTCTGCTTACACCAAAATGAACCATTTGAGTTTTATATTTTATTTTGGACCAAATAAGATTTCAGCTTCAATGTAAATATCAATTTTTATTGCTGGAAAATACAAGAAAATATAGAGAAATGGCGTTCAAATCTTTAATTTAATTCCTTAAATGTTTGAAATTTTATTTATAAAATTTAAATAAAGGACCTTGTGGTCAAAATAAGTAAATAAAATAAATGACCTGCATTTAACATGTTTTCCAACAGGAAGGCCCAGAACTGAAGTTGGTGTAGGAAGAGCAAATTTAAATCTTGCAGAATTTGGACTCAGCCGCGTCTTCTTCACAAGCCTGAATTCTCTGAAATTCTTTGGATCCAAACAACCTGAAATAAATCATCAATAATTAATACATAAATGTCAGTAAAATGGGGTAATACTGCAATGATAAAAATGATCTAAATAATAATAATATTATTATTAGCATTAATATTAATAATATCACCCTTGGCCTTGGGTCTAAAGAACAAGTTGTAGCAGAAGAAATATGCAGCAGAAAGGGCAATAACAATGAGAGAAACAGCAACATAAGATAAGTGATCCTTGAAATAATCCAAACTCAAGGATGATGTAACATTATTGAAAGGAAATTCCACCATTTTTGCGATTAAATCACTTGAATGAAACAATGAAGGCGCATATATATATATATGTATATAGCTCCAGGTATATTCTATTTATGTTCTTTACTTCTTCTCCTCATCATTCTTGTTTCACAGTGAAGCCAAGAATCATTCCAAACTCTTCTCCTAGGTCCAAAGATTCTATGTTTTTCTTCTTTTTTTTTTTTTTTGAAGATTCCACGGTGTGTGTATTATGGAAATTAAAGTTGATTCTGATTTCATGATTTCGTTCAATGTTTTTGGAAAAGTTAATTAAATCCCCTTTTATCCATTTATTTTGTGTTATGTCATTATCTGGCCATCCTTATTTTAATTTGTTACTACTATTCGCTGCTGAAAAACAGAAATACAGAATAAAATAAGAGATAAAGAAGGTTTGAAAGAAATTAATTAAATGACAAAAACTTGGGACAAAGGGAACCGATAATTTAAAAAAATGATTATCACTATATAAACGTTGATTTTATTCTGCAATCCATAATAATGACAATCAAGAAAACAACTAATTGAAGTAGCCAACAGAAATACAGAATTGACAATTGCTGTCCCACAGATTTGTGCCATTAGAGAGAAGAAGATGCTCCCATGTATTTGATAATGGCCCATACACATTAATGCAATTATTAATGATTTGAATCATACCAGGTATTTTATAAATGCGTAATTAGTTCTAGATTTTATTTCTTGATGTAATAATCTTAATATCCATTAATCTGTAAATATCATTGTAAGTTTTTTTTTTGTAGTTTTGATTTTTGTAAGGAAAGAAAACGAGTAAATAAAAATCATGTAAAGGAATCAAAAGAAATCTAGGCAATATTTCTAAAGCATGCTTCGCTAGCATGTCAGTTTTTTCTCCCTCTTTTAATGCTTGGTTTGGATGGAAAGAGAAGTTTGGAGGGAAAAAAATGAAAGAAGAAAAAAAAATATTATCAATTTTTTTATTTTGATGAACAAGAAAATATTAATAAATACTAAAAATATAATATAAAAATAAAAGATGAATGAGATGAAAGGAAAATAGTTTTTTCCCTCCTTGTGTCAAGAGAAAAGTTGGGAAGAAATTTCAAATTTTCTTTCCTCAAATTTTTTTTTGTTCAAACTGGTAAAAATCACTTATCTCCCACATTTTTTTCCCTCTCGTTTTCTCTCCATCAAAGATGAGTAAGCTCATAAAATTCAATTAATTGGAGTTTTTTTCTAGGTAGGGAAAAAAGATATCCCCATTTGGGATGGGAAAAATCGTAATTAAAAATTCTAGAATTTAAAAAACACAGATAAACATCTGTGACATAATAATAATATATTGTGAAATTATCAAAACTCATAACAAAGTTGTCATGGATTTTTGTTTTTCAAATTTTAGATTTTTTTTTTTTTGCGATTTCTCTTTTGGGATATTATGACATCAGTCACGTGGGCCTATATAATAGTGACATTTGATATCATCCCACTCGGCATGAAGTGGGGCGAAAGATTCGAATCTTTTCTTTCTCAAGCGTGTTGTTCATATCCCCACTAACACCAATATTGATGGGTGGAAGGTTTGGTTGGTTGCTTCTTCTTCGGCTTCACTTCATCAAATCTTGCAACGTTATGTTTAATCCTATTCGGATTTTTAATATAAGAACTACTTTAATATTTAATTTGATATTAAATATAATATTCTTATCACTTTATCTATCATATTTATTTATTTATTAAGATGATTCTTATAATAGTTACACATGTTAAAAGTTTTATCAAATTTTAGTTCTAACTAATAGACATGATTAGTAAGAGTATTCTAGAAAAGATAATACATATTTAATATAAATAACTAACTTAATAAACTTTCTTTCAAATTAGTTAACTAACTCTTATATAACCTCCGACTGGTCCTTAATATAATAGCTAATTGAGTAATTTGAATAGATTAAGGAGGTTTGTTAAATTAGTTATTTGTAATAAATGTATTATCTTTTCTAAAGTATCCTTGCTAATTATATATGTTAGTTATAATTATCATTTGATGAAATATTTAACATATACAACTATTATAAAGACTATTTTAAAATAAATAAATAAATATGAGAGGTAAAATAAATTTAAAATTTATATTTAGAATTAAATTAAATGTTAAACTAGTTTTTATATTAAAAAGGGTAAAAGTGCATCTAGCACTTCAAATTATTTTTAGAGGTGCAATTAACACCCTAAAGTATTTAAGAGTACAATTTTACCCCTCTACTATTTAAATTGGTGCAATTTCACCCTTTAACAGACAGATGTGTTAACTTCCATTTTTCTATTTCCATTTAAACATTAAAAGTGCCACCTATATTAAAAAAAAAAAAAAAAACTTTTGCCGAAGCTTCTTCCCCCAATTGTTAGGTTTTGTGTTCAAAGGCTGTGAGAATAGGAGAGCTCATCAACAAAAACGATGATGTGCAGCTGATATATATCTAAAATTCAATTGTGAAATCCACTTTTTTCAATGTGCATTTTCTTTATTTTCTTCTGCAATTACAAATCTTTCTCTATGATGGTACGCCATTTCTATATTAATTCAAAGTTTCATCTTCTAACTTCATCTCTCCCTCCCTACTGCAATCACTTTCCCAAATTAAACCCACCAACAAATCTACCACCCCTCCAACTCTAAACTCCACAAATTAATCAGAGATTCCATCTTTTCCTCACACGCACACCGTCATCTTTATCGATGCATTTTTCTTTGTTATCTCATCTCATCTTCTTCACTCATACATGGGTTTCAACTTCACAATCCCTAGATTTTTTATTTATTCAGAATGAGGTGTTTTTTGTTTTTATTTTCTTTGTAAAAAAACAGGTGGCATCATTAAATACTGTAGATAATAGCTGCTGATTGGTAGGAGAAATTATAGGAATTAATTGTAAATATTAGGAGATTTATTTGTTATCTGATTTTATTTGATTTTCTCCTCATTATGATCCCTTGTACCTCAGATCAGATTCTATTATTCCCTTGTATATATATTGCCGAAATACTCAATGAAACAACACGGAAGAATTCTACAGTTCGTATTGTACCGGATAAACTGACCGGTGACAACTACTGTGAATGGGCTCAGTCGATGCGACTGGCGCTTGATGGTCAAAGCTGACTGGGTTACATTACTAGTGAACCTCCAGCCCCATCGTTGATTGATGAAAAGGCGCTGAGGGCATGGAAATTAGACAATGCGATGGTCTCTTCATGGCTCGTCAATGCCATGGTACCCGCCATTAAGAAGGTATTCATGTTTCTCCCCTCCGCTCACGATATATGGGAAGCAGTAAGGGAGGCATATAGTGGCGGCGGCAATGAGTCCCAGGTCTTCGAACTGAAACAGAAGGTTTGGGACCTCAAACAAGGATCTCGCATGTTGGGTGACTACTATCTAGAGAAAACAGCTCTCTGGCAGGAACTGGACCTCATCAGCGATGCGCTTGAATGTTGCGCGTCCCATGCTGCAGGCAACCACAAGAAGATTGAACAGGAGCACCTATTTGAATTATTGGCAGGTCTAAATCCATCGTTTGATGATATTCACGGCCGAATTCTCAGTCATACTCCTCTTCCTTCTGTTCGTGCAGCCTTTGCGATACTTCGTAATGAAGACTCACGAAAGAAAGTTATGCCCAAAGAAAAACCAATGCCACGAGCTCCTCCAATTGAAGCCTCTGCTCTTGCCACACGCTCCAATGAGCACCGATGAAATAAAAACAGACCCATATGTGACCATTGCCAAAAAACAGGGCATACTAAAGACACATGCTGGGACCTCCATGAGAAACCACTGGATTGGAGACCAAAAAGAGGAAAAGGTCGTGGATACTTTGCTGAAACTTCAAAAACAGAGGAAGCAGATTCTTCTGCAAAAGCAACTCAGAACAATCCATTAACTAGAATTCTGGAGAGGCTTACCGCATTAGAGAATAACCAACAGACCCAAAAGCAACCTACGGCCACTGTGGTTCAAAGAGATAACTTTTTCAAAGCATTGGCTACTATTAAAGGTATGAGTTCTAGGCATTGTTAGATTGTTGATTCAGGCGCTTCTGACCATATGACTGATGATATTTCATTGTTCTCCACTTATACTTCTACTAAAACTCACCTTATGGTTAAAATTGCCGATGTTTCTAATGCTCTCGTTGTTGGTATTGGGAGTGTTATAGTCTTTGCCACACTCACACTTCATGTCGTGCTCCATGTTCCCAATTTAAAGTGCAACTTATTATCTGTGAGCCAATTGGCCAGGGATGAACGATGCCATGCTGACTTCTTTGCTTCTTATTGCATTTTTTAGGATCTGCTACGAGGACGACAATTGGCATTGCTAAGAAGTTTGATGGGCTTTACTACCTGAATGACTATGATGACCGGAGCTTTAAATCTTGTAATAAAGTGTCTCTCCCTAGGACTAATGAGTTGGAGTTATGGCACCAAAGATTAGGACACCCAAACTGTCAATATATGACTCAAATGTTTCCATCACTTTGCTCAAATAAAAATTCTGTTGATTTTCATTGTGATTCTTGTGAACGTGCTAAACATCACCGTACCTCTTTTTCCAGCATTCCGTATCAGCTTCCAAACCATTCACCACTATTCATAGTGATCTATGATGGCCCTCTCGGGTTCCCAATCGTACACATTCAAAATGGTTTATAAGCTTTATTGATGACCACACTCGAGTAAGCTGGGTATTCCTTTTAAAAAATAAAACTGATGTTTATCAAACTTTCCTTGATTTCTATCAAATGATTCAGACCCAATTCCACACAAGAATTCAAATCCTTCATCCTGATAATGGAACTGAATATTTCAACAACTCCCTGTCCACCTTCTTAAAGGATCATGGCATCATACACAAAAGCACTTGTCCTCACAGCCCACAACAAAACGGCATTGATGAGAGAAAAAATAGACACATCCTAGAAACTGCTAGAGCCATAATGCTCAGCAG